AGATTTGGATGGGAAAAGACCATATGTATCATACTCCAATTTATTTGAGAATTATTTTAGTATATATGTTTTATGAGTTTTTTTATAATTAAAATAGAAGTGCATCTATATATATGTTCATTTGAGAACCTAATAAATAGTGAATCTATATATACATTTTCCAAGTACATTTTTGAACCTATTTACAAGATAATTGTTTTAAATGTTAATAAACTAATTAATTAATTAATTAATTTCAGGTTCAACATCTTGAAATCGTTTGTTAGAAAGATTTTTCAGATTCTCAATTTTGTTTCTATATAAAAAGATAATAAATCTACAAATAATCCTTATTTATAACAAATAATCGAGAATGTCTAGCAAATAGAAACTAATTATTCTCAATCATTTTTTGGTAATATTTTTAAAATTATCTATTTAATGCTAACATAATTCAATGAAATATTCAAATAATCCTTATTTACAACATAAAATCGGAAATATTTAACCAATAAAAACTATAACTACAAATTATTTAATCAAATTGATTATTGATTCGAATTCCCACACCAAAAAAAAATTATTGATTCGAATTCATGATCAAAATATTCAAATAAATTGATTTATATAGCATCTTTCTTTTTAAAACTACCGAAGTAATGGGTTAATAATTAAAATTAATGATTATTAACAGTAAAATGATAACATTTCCATATCTTGAAGTTTAAGAATATATATTATTTACAATTCCTCATATTATGGTATTGGAAGATTTTAAGAAATATATATAAAAATAAGATTTTGTAAACAATAAATGTGATCATGAATGTGGATAGTTTTCAAGCATAAATACCAAATCATATTAAATAATTGAAACCCTATTAAATAGCCTAAATTTATCTTAATTTACAAGCTATAATAAAAACCTGAAACTTACATTTAATTACTTACACAAATTCGAATAAATATTTTTTTAAAATTTCAAATCTTCTTCGAAAACAACATCTTAAATATTTTTTATACCTAAACCGTTTATTAAATCTCTCCGAAAAATTGCAGAAAACATATTTTTTCTATTAAAAACATCCAAAATAACTCCTTTCATTTGACAATTTTTTTGGTTGTCTAATATTATAATTAAAAGATAAAATTATATTTCCTTTGTGATTTCCTACTTTATAATTATATTTATAAAATAATAATTTTTAGAGTTAACAAAGAGAAAATTTAGATTAAATATATCAAATATTTTTATGTCCGAATCCTCTAATATTAGTATGACTATGACAACAATATAAACACACTTATTTGTCTAAAATATTAAATCACAAATAAATACAATAACTCTTTACAGATATAATGCATACAAAATTTTGCACTTCGACCACTTTTTTTTCCTTTGTACAAAAAAAAATAGAAGAGATATCATATTTCAATATCTATAACCATAAACAAAATTTACAAACCAACACAAATATTTGCACATATATATAAAGTACTTACACACTTTCAAAACTATTTAAATATACAACAAACACAATAAGATGATACGTAATTTACACACGCCGTACATTGTTGCTTACTAAATTGTAATCTCATTTTTCTTTATTATTAAAAATATTCAAACATACAACATACTAATCGTACAATGAACACTATATATATTTCTATATATACATTCTAATCACACATGTAAATATGTTATATAAATACTTATTATATTTTAAAAATATATAGATTTTTCTCAAACAAACATATATTATTTTTTAAAACGAAAATATAGTCCCGCGGTGTACCGCGGGTCAATCCCTAGTTTTATACATATATTAAGATATAATACATGAATGGATTCGGACTGAATCCAATAACCTATTTTTAAAAATAAAACTTGAATCCGGATATGAAAACTCTGGAAATCCCATTTTTGGGAACAAATTAAATTTCATTTCTTGTATATAATTTTGCTATTCCTACTGAGTTGATTTGTATTTTTTTCATCTTTTTATTTCATACTTAAGAAACTATTGAAATAACTTCAAGGTATTAGTTCAGTCCATAAAAAAAAGTGGTCTAGTTTTTTTTAAAAAGGAGATATTTTAGAATACCTCATTTAGTTTAATGTTCAATCTATTGCTTTGTCTCTTTCTCTCTCTGTGCCTAGCTCGAACGTCGAACATGTCACACGTTGCACTTTAAAGTGCCTTCGCAGACCACACGAGCTACAAGGGCGAGGCAGTCACTTTAACTAAGTCTAAGCAATAAATAAATAAATGAAGAAATTAAAGAAGTATACTTATGCATTGATGTAGAGAGTTTTGAGTAGGAAGCACTATAATCATCTTCCATAATAATCAAACCTACAAATATCCTTTATATTATAAGGGAAAATTGGAAATAAAGGATATCTACTTAAAAATTTGTCCATATACATCTTTTTTGTGAGATTGTCAGTTTGGACGATTTTAACCCTCCATCCTAATTTACATGTTTTTTTAAAAAAATAATCATAAAAATAAGTAGATATACAAGAGTAGAGGTGATTTGAAGTGAAATTTTTTAGATTTGGTTTTAAAAAAGTTGATTTTTTGATAGATAAAGTTTCATCTAATTTTGGTAGAACACGTATTCTAGAGTTCTGCGAAACTCAGAGTGTGTATTCTGCATTTTTGTACATGTTCTACATATTTCAGACTAGATTTCTGTTCTGAAAATTTTAGAAATCCGAAAATCATATATCTAAAATATTCAGAACATGCATTCTACGTTTTGCTCTATGTTCTAAATTTTTTTGAATAGCCGTTCTAATAATTTCTACATCTTCTGCCATCGTTAGAAATTGTAATCTCTTCGTTTAGAATGTAAATTCTACGGTATTGTAGATTTCGTTTTCTGTAATTTTTAGAATGCTCTAAATATAGAAAGTAAATTTTTAGAAAAAGAAACTAAATATTTATTGTAGATTACGTTTTAAATGAATATTTATTGTTTAGATTACGATCTACAAGATGTAGAAGTTGTTGTCTACGTTTTTTTAGACAAAGATAAAAACCTAAAACGTTTTCTAAACCCTAAGCTAAGCCACCACTTTCGATTTTTTTGCTATATCCTGCGTTTTTCCTTCAAATTCTTTTTTTTGTTTTTTCAACGATTTGTGTGGAGATTGTATGACAAGAAAAAGTGGAGACTTATTATTGATGAAAAAAAAACGTGGGGGATTATTGCATTACCAAAAAACTTGCAAAAGCATGTAAGAAAACTTACAAAAATTCTGAAGAATTCTTTTTTTTAAAACATATAAAACATCAAGAACTAAACAAATGACCATCGGATCCAGTTTTCCTTACAATTTATTTTTTTCCCACGTAAGTATAATCTAACCATATGCAATTCATTTTTTAAAATACAAACATAAGTATCATAATTTCATTTCAAAAAATTCATCTATTACTCAAGAATTTAGGTTATGATAACAAGCCAACTATTGTTGTGATCGGAGATTAACCACTTTGGTGACTACCAAATAAACACTTCAACATAATGTTTTTTGTTATCTGTTTATTTTATTTTTTAAATCATGAACATGTTACCAATTAGATGTATTCTTTATCCAATATTTTTCAACTGTCGTCTTACCACTATTTTAATTCCTAACCTCACTCTAATGTCATCATGATCGGCAAACACAAACTTCCTACAATGCTTAAACGTTAAAACGTTTGTCCATAGTCTAATTCTTAATTACATATTTTAATATCACACGTCTATATCATACTTTATCCATGGAAACAAATATATATAGTAATGTAAATGTATCTCTGATTAAGTAATTAGTTATTAATCAATAACTAGGTTTTTGTAAATAAATTAGGAAGTTTTTTTTTTGAGAGAAAATGAGGGTAAAATTGGATTTTGATTTTTAAAAAACCTATTTGACCAATCTACAAAAAAAGGGGATATATGGACAAATTTTTAAGTAGATATCATTTTATTCCAATTTTCCCATATTATAATTATTCTTTGAGAAGTCTTTAAGAAGTTAAAATGCATTATCTAAACAATAAAACAAACAACCACAAATGATGTTAAACCTGTCGTCATGGGAAGGAATAGAAAAAAGAATTATGACTATAAGGAGTAACCGATTTAATAGAACCTGGTAAGCCTACACTAGGAATTCTGCCGTTAATTTTAGAATTAAATTAGAATGAGAATTAAAATGAGTAGAACAATTAGTCAGTGTATTTTCTAGGAATACCAAAAGCATATGGGAAATACAACATTGTTAGCCGGCGATTATTCGATTCACGAAGATTACATTAAAGTACAATAGCTTGAAATGTCTTCCACTAAAAATATAAACTCCATCTGTTTCTTTTTATAAGATATCTTATATAAATACAATTAAATTTTCAAAATGTAGCTACTAATTTTAAAATTAATATACGTTATTTCAATATGAATTTTGATTTTTATATTTCGAGTTCTTCAAGTGTCTTTACATGAACTTCAATTTAAATATGATTTTTGTATTTTTTTCAACTTTACCTTTTTTATCAAAAAAAAAAAACAATTGGTTCATATTATAGTGCTTATAGAGAAAAACAGTTGAAATCTGTTGGTTCCTATAAAGTAAACAACAGTTTTTTTTTTCATATTTTTGTTGTGCTCTTGAGAAAACTGTTGAATAACTTAAAGGTATTATTCCAGTCTAATTTCATTATTCCTGAATTGTTTTAGAAAAAAAAAAAGAGATATTTTAGAATACCTCATATAAGAGACAAGTTTTTTTTGTTTTTTTCTTTTTGTTTGGTTTTGTGGTTATATAATCTCTCTCTTTCTCTCTGCCTTGCTCGAGCATCGTACTCGTCACACGTTGCAATCTTAATGCCTTCGCAGACCACACGAGCTACAAGAGCCAGGCAGTCCTTTTACCCAGACAAATGTATTAATCAAAGAATAATTTTTGTACCGTCAGTATCCGAGACTGTTTTAAAAAACATTTTAGGGATTAGAAACAAAAATTATGATTATAAGATTCATTCATCTAAAAGTGTAACTGATCTAATAAAATAGAACTCTTACGTTTGCTTTAAGTTACATTGTATGTAAAAAAACAGAGACCTACAAGTGAGTGTATTGTGTATGAACTATGAATATAAATTAGAAATCCTTAAATCAACTACTCCGTGGTATGAATAAATTATCTTGGACGTATATATAAATGTATATCTCATCTTTGCTCCTAGATCAAGATGATGGTGTACTTTGTCTGCCTTCCAAATCTCTCCTTATAATCTCCAGAACCATCTCGTTCCATGTGTCTACCGGCCCCGGCATGCACCAATGCAAGCAGTCTTGTGGAGGAGGCTGACCGTCTGGTCCACGTTTTGTGATCTTTTTCGGGTCAGGACTCCTGTACGGGCCAGGATGACCGTCGTGGCGATACCCGAAAGCTTCAGTGATATCCATCAGCTTCAGCTTCTTCGATCTATTGCCGAGTTTATTATCTGCCACAGCTCGGTGAAACCCTGTTGCTTGCTTCGCGTGCATTATCTCTGTGAACTCATTTGTAACTAACTTCCCGGGAGGAAGCGGCTCTACTTTACCAGTACACGATCCACCAGTGTTCCATGCACCGCCCTCATAATGATCAGGCGACCAAGTACGTAAGATGGTCAGACCGGTGTAGTTTGGGTGTTTAGCCATTGCCTTTAGGATTGTTTCTACCGAGATCCCAAATGCTTCGACGTTGTTAATCTTGGCGGGTTTTGATTTGTCTGGCCACCATAACTGGCCTCCAACAATCTCGTCATTTAAAATGTAGACAGACTGTTTTGCAAACCAGTGACCCGATGAAAGTACAACCACATCGAATTTCGGAAGAGCTTCCATTATGCGCTCATCAGGTTGGTCGAGCTTGAGTTTGGTTACACCATCTGTAGCAAAACCAAACGGTTCGTTGAACTGATGGACGAGCCAAGATGACCACATCCGAGCTATCATCACTGATGATGACCTGAAATACCATCTCTGCATCTTTCGGTTCCCACGGTTAACCGGAGTCTCTACCTAAAAACAACATCATTTGAAAGTTTAATCACACAGACAAAACAAACTCTTGGAAACAAAAAGAACCTCTATATCATGACACAAAGTATAAGAAAACACTTGCCTGCCAAAGAAGGCACATCATGGACTCCATCTGATTACGAGCTACTGAATCACCTATAAAAGCTAATGTCTTGCCTCTCATTAGCTCAAGAAATTTCTTAGCATCAAACCGCGGAAGATCACACTGAGACGGTTTCCATCTCCAGTTCTCATACCCCTTGTCAGGTCTTCCATTACCCTGACAGTTCTGCATCTGTGTCAAAAGAGGACAAGAGTTGTTTGTGTACACCGGTCCCATTGGATCATAAAACCAGTTACCATGATACAGATCACATTCTGCAAAATGGTCAAACAAATCAGAAATGCTTCAGTAAGAAGATTGATAACACAATTTGACAAAAGCTAAGATCCTTGAGAGAAGACATGAAGTTATATATTGCCAAATTATAAAGGAGGTAGCTTTAACTATATAGTCCAAAGGTGGTTATTAAGATTCCAGAATAAGGACTTGAGTTAAATGCATCATTAATTAGTAACATTGGTCTTTTGTCTCAGTGTGATTTGTCTACATACTAATAAAGAACCTCCAAGTGTAATTAAGAGCTACTTAACTTACTCTACACATACTAATCTACAATTAGAGAAACTTAAGCAATCACTTAACAGTACCTGTTTCTACATGATCTTGTGTAGCTTCTTCATCCATGGAAACATTTGAAGACTTCGTTTCTTCGCCTAATCTAACATCGTTCGAATCCGAAGAATCCTTGGGAAGCACTTTATCATCACTGTCTTGTGTCAACAATGGCGGTGAGTCTGAGCTAGAATGAGGATCAATACTATGGTGAAATTGGACATTTTGAGTGGTCTCTGTTCTGTAGAAATAGTCAGTAACAGAGGAACCAATGGGATACGTGAAAAGAAGCAGAGAAGCGAAGATGACAAAAGAAGTTAATCCACCAATAGCAAATGCAATTGAAGAAACTTTTCGAGGAAACAACAACACAGTCTTTGAATTTGAAACTCGAGGAGAAGCCAAAGTCATGATTTTTCTGCACACAACCTATAAAAAACAGAGCAATCATTCATCATTGGAGGATTACATAACTGGGTTCCGCTAAATCACAATAAAGTTTCGATTTTTACGATATGTTTATCGATCTCTATAGGTGAATTTTCGATCGATGGAGAAAGGAATAGATCAGAGTAAAACTTACATTTAGAATTGAAAACCCAGAGGAGGAAGATGGAAGAAGAAGATTTTGCTTTGTTGAGGAATTTATTTAAATCGAGAAGATCTGGGAGTTTCAGAGAGAAGCGTGGAAGGAAGAACAATGTTAAATTTTTTATGAATTATAGAAAGTCAAATTTATTATAGTCAATCTAGGATCTTTTTATTTTATTTTTAATTAAGCTCTTTATATAATTATTAGGTCAAATTTATTTGGTCATTGTGCATGATATTTAAATTCATATAATTATTGTGGTTATGTTTTAATCTCGTGGTAGATTATGTGTGCTTTTCATGTTTTATATAATTTACTAAAATTATATTGGATAAAACATAAAAATTTTAAATTTGTTTAGTTTTGTAAAATAATATAGAGATATTTATAATTTTATTTGCTTCATGTATATATAAATTATTATTATTATTTAGAATTTAATCAATCAAAATTAGTTGATGTAAAAGTAAACATCTATTACTATGTATAACACTTTTGTGGTTTATATAATAACTAAGGATATTTAAATTTTATCCATGAATTTTAAATTAGTTAGTTTTGTATATGAGTATGATGGAGCGGGTTAGTGTGATACTGTTAGCATAACGCATTTAATTCGTCTTATATAAAATTAAGATTTTTTTGTGTGTTTTTAGACCAATCCGCAAAAATATATAATCGTACTAATGTGAACCCTAAATCCCATCACATGACATATGATTATTTTCTACTTTTTGTCAAATGATTTTTTAATTATTGACTATTAATATTTAAATCACATAAAGTGATAAGCTCACAAGCATAATTTTAGATTTTATTCTAATAACTAAATATTATCTTAAAATTTTGATTGTTGAAAAATATAATTAATGTTTGTTTGTTAAACAAAAAATCTTTTAAATCCCCCAATATTTGGAATATTCATGTGCTCCAAAATTTCAAAACTCTTGAGATTTCATTTAATTCTTAAAAAAAATACAGCTAAATCCTTTATATATATATATATATTAAATAATTTGGGTGAAAAGCTAACATTACATTTGATTAATTCTGATATCGGTCCATATTTAGTTTTTTTTTTTTTGAACAAACCATTAATTTATAAATAGATAAAAAAAAGTTTATACCCTGCTAAAAGAGAAAGTTGATACAGATAAAGAGCCGGAACAGATAACTCAACAACAACAACAACAATGTTAAGATAGAAATGCCAGGGATAGGAGATACGATCAAAAGCAGACTTGAGTAAGGAAATGCCATGAATGGATTCACGAAACTCTGTCTTGCAAACCTTTGAGTTGATGAGACCAACCAAAGTCCGAGACTTTGAAAGAACTGAGTTCATAGCGATCTCAACTGCCGAGTCTAGAGCACATCGAAGTGCCAAATAAAATTCAACAATAACCGCTGAGTCAGACATATGGTCTAACTGAAGAGTATTTAGAAATAACACAAGATTCAACTTCTTGAAAATACATTCCCCATCCGCAGCAACCTAGATTAACCCGACAAAAGGAAGGTGGAGGCACAAAGGCTTCATTCCATTCTCTAGATTCTCTGATGGATTTCGAAACGACATCCTCTTTAGTAAAACATAGACCTATTTTCTCTTGTTATTTTTTTTTGGGGAATGAAATTTCATGAAAAGATTTTCTAGTGAATGGCTTCAACAAAAACATTGAAAATCAGTTTTTTGACACATTTTTTTGCAATTGATAAGAGATATTATACATCGCTCAAAACAAAAATTAAGTTAATTAATATTTTTGGCATTTAAGATATTCTGTATTTTAGGTAACTAATTTAAATATTGCGTTCATTTTTTTTTTTTGGGTTCATCATTGTGTTCTCTTGCAACTTCACAAGTAATATAAGCTACATCATTTATATTGTGATTTGTGAAAACAATGATGTGATTTGTGAAAATAACTTTATAATAAATACATATCCATCCATTTCTCATATAAAAATGATATGTAAAACAAGAAGAGTTACAAATCAATTATTTTCATCCTCATTCTACGTACAAATTTTATTATTTCTCTAAGTTGTTAAAGGATTAAAATACTGATTATAAAAACACAATCTAAAACATACTTTATGAATCTTATCTCTAAACATACTGAACATTTTCTGCACCCCAAATCGTCGCTCCCATAACACCTCATCTAGATGCTCTTCTTGCCCAAATCGTCGCTTCTTGGAGTAGTTGATAAGGCCACGTTCGAGCTTAAAGAGATGAATGACATATGTGTATGCAACAAACACATATCCATCATTTTCCCATGACACCTCAGTTAGATGGTCTTCTTTTTCTTCTCCACAAGGACCTTTTCAACTCCCTCTTCTATCTCTATAAGAATCTAAGCTTCAAGTCCCTCTTTCTCCTTCTCCAAATGCTGAGTTTGAACCACATGTTCAACTCCTTTTGTCCCCAATGCATACCAAAAGTCTTTGAAAACAAACCTAGGCTTTGGAGTCCAAGCAAGCATCTCCTGGTGAATAGCTTCAATGAAAACAGTGAACATTTTTTTTTTCGACATCTTTTTCTTTTGGTAATGAGAAGTAGATAGAAAGTTTGGAGTAAAAGAGGATGAAGAATAAGAAGAAGAACTATTGAAGGAGACTTATAGATGGTCAAAGAAGTAAGAGTTAAAGCCATCCTTAGAACATTCAAGATCATTTCTTCTTCGTTGCAGAGAGGTTTCTTATTTTGGTGAGGACAAGAGGTAAGAGGCAAGGAAGCCGAAAGTTGGTTATTTTATTTTTCAAGGTTTTTTTAGCAATTAATAATAGATATTATATGTATCTCTCAAATCTAAAATTTAAGTTAATTGTTATTTTTGACATTTAAGATCTTAGGTAAACTATTTACATTTTATTTTTCCATCATTTATCATATAGAAAACAGAAAGAGATACATCAATGTTGTCTATTACCAAAATTTACATAAATGTGAAAATCAAATTTGTACAGCTCTTGATCACATGAATGGACTAATGGTTTATGCTCCTTGTTTGTATTAACACTAGGACTAAGACCCCCCGCGATGTCGCGGGGGAAAGGATTTCAAAAAAATTTAAAGAAAAAAATATCAAACAAAATGTCATAATAAATTGAGATAATAAATTTCCAAACAATTATTTTTAACAATAAATAAAAATATATGTTACAAAAAATATGATAAAGAGACGTAAACCCTCAAAAATATTTTTAAAGACTTGTATTATTATTAGAAAATACTATGGTGAAAAGATGCGATCATATAAAAAATATTAAACAAAAAGTTATAATAAGTAGATGTAATTTTTTATTTTTCTAAAATATTATTAAAAAATTATATATATATCTATATATATATATAGAGTTAAATATAACAAATTTTGCAAAAGTTCGTCAAATAAACTAAAGATTACAACTGTTCATAAAAAAAAAATCAAAAGTTGCAATAATTTGTCAAATAAACCAAATGTTGCAACGGTTCAATTAAACGGTTATAGTTTTATTTAAATACATTTTAGTAACTAAAATTGAAATAATAGTTTATAAAAAATTACACCGAAAGATGTGACTGTAGATAATTAAATATTATAACGGTTTATAAAATAAACCAAGAGTTGCATTTGTTCGTGAAATAAACGATATGTTGCAATGGTTCAACTAAACGATTGTAACCGTTTATGAAAAGTTATGATAAAAAAAACGCAACCGTAGAAGATATTTATCTGGATCATATTTTTCTAAAAAAATTCAACCGTAAAATATATATTTTTAATTTTTTAACGATTTATAAAATGAATCAAAAATTTCAATTGTTCGTTAAATAAAGTAAATGTTGCAATGGTTCAACTAAACTGAACCATCGCAATTGTATATGAGGTGTTACGATTAAAAGATGCAACCGTAGAAACAATTTATTCATATTGCAACTTTTTTTTTTAAAAAAAACCATAGAATATATATTTTAGTTAAAAAACTAAAATTTAAATCTATATAATATGATACGTAACTTTAAATGAATAGATACAACTATGAAGAAACAACCGTAAACTGAAAAGATACGACTGTAATTGAACAAATATAACTATATGAAAAAACCGTAAATATGTTAACGAAGAGATGCGATAAAAAGACACAACCGTAAAAAAAAAACCGTAAATATTTCAACGAAAAAATGGGATAAAAAGACACAACCGAAAAAAAAAACCGTAAGTATTTAAACGAAAGGTTGCGATAAACAGACGCAACCGTTCAAGGGTGCAAATGGTATTTATTAGATTGCTATTATATATAGATTATTATTTTTGAATTGATTACCAAATTCAATTTGTATGTGAAGGGAATATATTGTGTTTCTCCTGGTCTTAAGGCATCATATATACAATCTTTATCTTAAACTTTTAACTATAAATCCATTTTTTCGTAATTGAAGACAAATTCCTACAAAACCGTGTATTTTTAAAACATATGGAATAAATCCGTAAAGACTTATCTAGATTTTTTCTATTCAATTGAACAATTATAGTAAAGCTAAACCACATGTGTGGTGGGAGAGTGGTTCTCGTCTAATGGAAGAGTTACCTTGTAAGTCTACGCCAGAGATCAATTCTCCCAAAATTGATTTGAAATCAACAACAATGAAGGAGAAGACGCCTACAGGGAAGACGTCGATGGAGAAGATGATGGTGATGGCGAAGGTGACCGTGACAGAAAGCCGGTGATGACTGAAAAATCATCGACAATTATGGTGGCAAAGATCTCGTGAGAAAAGAGAAAAGTCCAAAACTGAAATGATGTAATTTCTTTAATCAGATAAGGACAAAATTGTAAATGTCAAACTTGTTAACATTGCAGCACCACAATCGTAGCTCGGGAGTGTGATTTGAAGTCTTTGAAATTTGTATAAAATTCATCGCACTCTTCACACACTTGAATCTTATTGTAGTAAAACCGGACTACCTGACCATTCGTCGGTGATACCGTGATTAGGGTCGCTGCATCGGAGTCGTACCGGACTGTCATTCAAGTATTATAGATGGAGAGAGATTTGCATTA